TGTCCAAAGTCAGAGTCACTGTGACAAAAGTAAGTTCATTTATTCTGCATAAAACATGCAGTAGAATAATATAAATAAACATGGGGATAGTTGCAGACAACAGCTGAAGGCAACAATAAAACAGAGGGAAGAGGGATGTTGTTGAAACTCAGCACAAAGCCTTGTAGCATTTCAGCTGCTGAGTCGAGATGTTTTCAATTAAAACCTGTTGTCAGTTTTGTGAACCCTGGTGACAAAAAAAGAGTAACTTTTAAATGTTCAATATGAAAAGTTGTGAGGAGGGATTCAGGATTTAGTCAAGCCTCATGTAGACAGCAGCTCCTGATTCACAGTTATTATGAGAAAAGTGAAGGAACAGGACCTCATCTCTTTATTAGCATTATCACCTGAGCCTCACCTGCTCATGTACCTCCTGTTTGTCCCCACCTGACAGTATTCATCCCTAAATTAATAAACATTTACCCCATTTTAGATCGTCATTCATGCACATAAAACGCTGTTTTATTTTGGTGGTCAGAGTTTGAGTCTCACACATAAAGGCTGGAGTCCTGGACTGACATCGGATCCCTTTCCTTTGAATCATATTATCTCCCATTATTAATATTTCTTCTCTCTCCTTCTCCACTAAAACAGAAATTTATATGTATATATCCACTGTATGTACATATACAAAAATTAAAAATGTTTAAAATATTTGACAAAACTTGTTCAAACTATATTTTTGTGTTGTTTTGTAAGTCTACATGTGGACAGTTTCTGCACACTCATTGGTCTTTCTCTCTTTCAATGCTGGTGTTTGTTTTTCTCTCTTATATTTTGTCTGACCCATGTAGGCTGGACACTCTTTGAGATATACTTAACCACAAGTCACCTAATAAGCATTGTTTCCACTTCTAACAGATGTTATTATGTTTTTTTCTTAGTGCAAACACTACAAAACTCAAATCTAGGCTGGTGTTTTTGTCTTGTTTCTAAAGAAAAATATTTCCAAGATTTAAAAAGATTCCACATTTTCCCCACGAGTCCAGGTAAATGTCTTATTTCAAGATAATACAAGTCAAAAATGAGACCTGAAGCACCTGTACGCAGTCAAAAACTCAGAAAACTACTTCTTCTATTTCTTTGTTGTTTTGTTGTTTTATTTTTTAACCACATTAGCAATTTTTTACAGGCAAGTCAGGTCTCATTTTTAGTCTGAAATGTTTTAAAACAAGATGTTTATCTGAACTTGTCATTCAGGAGAATGTGGCTTGTGTTAAGTCTAGTAATTTTATTTCTTTACCTTTTCATGAAATGAGACAAAAACTTTTTTTTTCTTCTAACCCTGTGTGAAGATCCTGTGCCAGTCAGGTAAACCCTGTGACATCCCTTATTTCTATAATGTGAGCACTGAAACAGGATATCGGTATCTTTAACGATAAATTAGTCTTTTTTTTTTTTTTTCTGTTGATGGATGGTGAAGGATTGTTTGCATAATTCCTCAATATTTCCTAACAGATTTTGTGGTAAAAACATCATGTTAATTAAACCTGATTTTCAGAGACTTAATGTTGATAGTTTGATGTTGAATTCTGTTTTAACAGCAGATTTGCTCTTATTACATGCTGCGTTCACTCACCCACACATCAAAGGCTCAGCTCTGGGAGCAGACGGGGGTTTAGTATCTCGCCAGAGGACACTAGGACGTGAAGACGGGATAAACCGAGGACTGCCGCTCTTCAAACCGGCGGACGACCTGCTCTTCCTTTGAACTACGGCGGCTCTCATTGTTCCCCTCAGTATAACGTGTGAATATAAAGTTGTTCTGGAAGACTGTGTAGTGAAAAATACACCCTGAGATGTTGCAGTGATTTTGTACATGCACAGAAAAATCTGTACATGCAGTGATGCTCATTCAGATCTCTTATTAGAGGCCAATTCTGTACATCTTAAACAGTCTTTAAGATTTATTTTCAAAGATAGAATTTAATCTAAAAGTTCTCCTATATATCTTATTTGAATACCTTAAAGATAAAGATACATGTCGACTGTATACTGTATTGCTTAAATCTTTGATATTGATGACACTTTGGTGTAAATGTGCAGACAGCAGAGAGTGAGGTAAAGATGAGTGAGACGCTGCAGCCTGGAAACAGATGCAACATTTTAAGAGAAAAACAGTGGATCGACACGTGCCTCAAGGACCTTTTTTCTTTTTGTTGTTTTTGCACACAACATGACATTCACGCACATCTACCTGTGCACCACCTTCAGGTTGTTCCTATCTGCTAACACCTCTGACTTTGCTTTAAACCACGCATGTATTGATGTGACTTGAATTCAAAGCAGCCGTGTTATTGCTGATCAAATGCATCCTCGATGAGAGCTGCTTATTATCTTGACATTAATCAGAAACAAATTATAAACACAGAGGTTCCTGTAGGAGAAATTCAATCATCCTGCCTCCTTTTTATCTCATTAACATGCATCTCATACTGAGACTGCTTCTGTTTAAATTAACAAGATTACATTCAGCTCATTAAATCCTCTGTTTTACACATTTTCAAATGATCTTTTATGGAAGAAAACACTTTTTCTGCACTTGAAGCAGGCTGTCTTTTTCCTCTCATAGAATTTGGTTTTTTTTTTTTGCTCTGGATAAAAATAATTTAAAGACAGATTTAAAGACATTAAGTAGATATCAAGTATGCAGGTTTTTTTTTTTTGTTTTTGTTTTTTTGTTTTTTTTGTTACAGTAAAAGATCATTAACTTTAAAAAAAAGTCCAGCAGGGGTTAGGGTTAGAATCCCTGAGCAGATTTGCACATGCAGAGACTTGGACTGAGCGCCGCATGTTAATGCACTGTCTTCATTTGCTGTACTTCTTACTTGTGATGCTCTAGATGACATACTGAGCTGAAATAGGTGGAACTACATATAAAACAAATCAGGTTGGATACTGGGATTCGACAAATCAATTTTTTTTCTTTGTTTTGTTTTTTAATAATCTTTTTATTGATTTTCTTGAGCACGATACATATAAAAGTTCAACAGCAAGTGTCACTGTAAAGTGCCTGTAATAACCACCCCCCCCCCCCCCCCCACCCCACCACACACACACACACACACACACACACACACACTCCATCCAAACCTCTTACCCTCATCCCCCATCCATCCCACCCCGTGTTGGTTGCAACATCACAGATACAAATTAGGTTCCATAACTCAAATAACCTAGGGTAGTTATATGAATAGCAGACATAATAAAAAAATGTACAAATGTATTGAAAATAAATAAAAAAGATGAAATAAAATACATAAATAGATAAATAAATAAATAAATAAACAAAAAGAAAATATCTCATGTAGCAGTTCTATCATCTTCAGGTATCAGGTCGAGGTTTTCCACATAATCTACAAAGGGTTTCCAGATTTTATTAAAAGTTACAAGAGACCCCTTTAGTGATAAATCACAACATAAATCAGCTTTTCATAAGATTGAACACATTAAAATTTCTGGACATTGTATATTTAAAAACATCACAGATCATGTTTTGAGTGGTAAAAATGTAAATTCCTGTTTGTATTCAAAAGATGTTTAAACTAGTGCAGTGGACTTACAATTAAAGAGAATTGCTAATGTTTGAAACTCACAAAGTCAAATCTCAAGTACAGATGTGTGACGGTTTGGGTGTTAAATTATGGGATGTACTGAATGATGATATAAAGATGTGTAATTCTATGTTAATCTTCAAGAAGACTTTAAAATCTAGAATCATCAATGGCTACAAGGAAATGTGAACATACATTTTCAGTCTAAGCTATCCAGTGATTATGTAACAAAGGTACAAGTACTGATGCTCGATTGTGAATGATTTGTTGAATCTATGATGGTATCCAGGATAGGCAAAGTCTGGAAGACTTGAGTTTTAGTTCTTTTTATTTTTAAACCAAAAAAAGCATTCAAATATTCATTCATTCAAATCAATGCAAATACAGACTTTTGTGCATCTTCTGTTGCACAGAAGACAAGAGGAAAAAGTCCACGGATTTAGAAACTGTCTCTGACACACACACACACACCGACTCAGACTGCCGTGTCTCTTATTTGCTCTGTAGTTGACATTTTCTATTGCTCTCCTGAGTTAAATGTCCTTGTGGAGTAATGCAGCAGTTTGATGTTAGAGTCTTAAACAACCTTTAGTCAGGTAAGAAACAGAGCCGTGTTTGATCAGTAAACCCTCTCAGCCTCATCTTGTTATTGTATTAGATTAAGAGTTAACGCTGAACTGTGTGGCTGCAGCATTTTTTATCAAGTGCTGTCTCGAACACTTTCAAACCAAGCCTGGTGTGAAACCCCTTACCTTCTATTTTTTAACCATCCTCTTTGACTTTTTGACGTCTCTGCTTGCCCAACACTTTCTTAACACACTTTTTCTCAAAGTTCTGGACCCAAAACTTTAGAAAACTCCACCCCCACAGAATAAAGATGTGCTCAACCTCTTGTATGGTGCAGGATGAGTCAGTGAGAGGCTTTAAAGCGTGAACAGTAACACAGTACATCCTAGTGCTACTTTGAGATCAGTCTTGCACTGATTTCTGTCATTGCAGGTCAGTTTTGTCACATAAAAATCTATTTTACTCAAGCTTAAAATGAAGCGTTTCCACCACCGCTGATAGAGATTCACTTTGTGGAAAGAAGACAGACTCACAACCTTGTAAAAAAAATTAAAGTTGTGAGTTTAAAAATCAAACACACTTAGGAAAAATGTTCAACTCCAGGAAAAGTGTTGCGATTGTGATAATTTTGTCTGCCGGTGTGAGTTTTAGAGGATTTAGTGAGCGGCTTCAGATCACTTCTGGCTTTGGGTTGAAAAAGAAAAACCTGCGCACCCCTCCTCCTCTTTTACCTCCTCCTTTTCCTCTCTCTCGCTCCTCTTCGCTCTCCGCCAACTGGCATAAAAGGTGCCAGATTAACACACTGGCATGCATGCACTAAAATGAAGGTGTGTACAAAAGTATTTGTGTTTGTGTGTGTGTGTGTGTGTGTGTGTTTCAGGATAATTGCCTGGATTTATGGGTGACAGGAACAGTTTACTGTGTCATTTGGATTTTCAGGGACAAGGTTTCACTTACCGGTGAATGTGACAGACAAAAAGCCCCCAAACACACACACACACAGACACACACACACACACAAACTGGTCGACTTGGCTGCGTAGGAGTTTCACGGCTTAATGTTTTCATGTTGAAGTGATATCCTGTGTATTGAATGTGTGGGATGGATGAGCGCTACATGTGAGGAGACAGATGCTGGAGCTCATGGTGACACACACACACACACACACACACATTGACTGTCATACACACACAAACACAAACATATACACACACGCATGATACCCAAAATCTGCCAAACTCTTCAGTGAAACTGATGAGCCGGGCTGCTGACTGTCCCACCGATGAACTCGTGCTACTGAGATTCACACTAAACCGAAGGGAGTCTGATCAAATACTTCTATTCCCCCCCCACCCCCCTCTCTATTAAACACACATGCATGCGCAGACACACAAACAAGCATGGCATGACGCTTGAATACTAATGCCAAACCCATTTACATTTCAAGCTGCACGACTGTCAGCACATCTCTGTTAGGGCGAGAGTAGGGAATTGTCAAGAACACAGAGTTCTCGGCTCGCTCTCGGTTTTGTTCCAACCTTTAAACCTGCTACACAATGCTGGGATACTCTCACATCAAGGGCTGATAATGAAACTTCAGACAAACATGGGAGCTGAGGTTTCATCTCTCATTTTGTTTACAAGTCCCATGTTTACAGCACTTTATCCCTGAGAGGAAGAGGAACATGTTTAGATGTGATGATTCTCTCTCTTCATCCTGTTTGTGCGTTACTTCAGTGACCCGCTGCAACGACTCAGACGCTGATGTGTGAATGAAGCAGCTTTAAAAGTCTGGACTGATTCAGTCTCTGATAAGCTGTCCTTCAGAGAGAAGACAACCTGTGCTCAGCTAAGAGAGGCTGCACAAAAACAATAATAATAATAATAATAGTAATAATAATGATGGTGATCATTTCATTATTATTATTATTATTATTGTTATTGTTATAATCATCATAAAAGCAGTTGTTTGGTCGGTCCTCAATCCATGTATCGTTCGTTTATTTGATTTTCAAAATAAAACCAAAAATGAAAAAATTGCTAAAATGAAAAAGAAAAAAGAGTTAGGGTTAGGGCTCATTTTCCGATTTCCGTTTTCTTCAGCTCAAGTGAAAATGGGATAAATGGATTAAATGGATTCCTAACCCCTATATAGGCGACTATATGGGGGTTAGCACCATTTTGAGGGGTGTCCATAACCTAAGTGATCAATTCCAGTGCCCTATATAGGTGACTCAAAATTTCCCATAAAGCATTGCAAAATGTAGTGACCATCTGATGGTCACTCACCGGTGGTGGGCACTCCGTCATGCATTGCGTCTCCAGCGGGAGACGAAGAAGAGACAGAACCCGAGCTCTATTTGACATTTTCAGTGTAAATTTTTTATCTTCACTTCACTTGCAAGTGATCTGTACAGTTTTCAAAAAACAAATGTTTGCTGCGTCATATAGTCTCGTGCACAATATGACACAGCAAACAATACTAAGCACGAAAATATATGGCCTTTTAAATGAATTATTAATTTATTGTTTTTTAAAAAATTTTTTATTTTATTTCACGAACATCCTGGAAAAACAAATACATCTATACAACATCATAAAATTCAACAGATGTGAAAACAACAGCCGCAACTTCAGATGCAGAAGTCTGAGCAGTGAGGTTAAAACAGTGTGCCATGTAGTGTCCGAAACCTCACCTCACTACACAGTCAGCTATGTAGTGAAACCCCATATGGGGGTTAGGGGTTAGGAATTGAGTGATTCATTTCGGACACAGCCTTAAAACTTTTTGTGTCTGTAGAAAGTTTCGTGACCCGGAAGTTAACCTTACTCAGATGTCAAGAGAACAAGAAACAGGCTTTGGCGTTATGGCTGGACTCGACAATTATTCATACGGCACTTTTTTCAGGATGGAAAAACTCATGCAGAGATTTCCACCGGGCTGCGGGAGTGCTGAGGTATTCTGAAATATCCGTCAGAAGGTTCTGTGCCCAAAACAACCTGAGGAGAAAAGGACACACATCAGAGAGGGTCTGATACGTGCCGTATGAGCTCTGGATAATTGTCAAGTCCAGCCATGACGCCAAAGCCCGTAGAGAGGAAGAACTTCCTTTAACAGGCAGAAACCTCGAGCAGAACCAGACTGATGTTAGACAGTCATCTGCTGAGACTGAGCTGGGTTTAGAGAGGGGAAAGAGAGAGAGATGGAGAAAGAGAGAGACTCATTCTCAGAGCTGAAGCAGCTGTAAAACAGACAGGTCCAAAAGCACACCTAGAAAAAACTGTGTTTGTGACTCTAATGAGACGTGATGATTTAGAGTTTATGACACAGAAGGAGAATGGATAGGGAGAGGGGGGTGCTCCATGTCCCAGTACCCCTGACAGTCCAAACCTGCAGCAGTATAACTAAGAGCTGGTCCAGAACTGAACCAGTTCTAACTATCACCTTTATTAGGAAGGAGGGTTTTAAACCACCCAGAGGAGAGGGTCCTGATAACTGAAAGCTCGACCACCCAGGCCACTTTCAGAGACTTTAGGTACGATGAGCAGACCTGCATATTTGGACCTCAGTGTTCTGGAAGGGTAACAGGGAACTAGGAGCTCTTAAAGATATGATGGTGCCTGACCATGAAGAGCTTTGTAGATCAGAAGAAGAACTTTAAATTCTACCCTTAATTTGATGGGAAGTCGGTGTAGAGAAGCTCATACAGGGACCATGTGCTCTCTTCTCAGTCTGGACCAAAGTGAACCACGGTCTGGTTCACGTCCAGTGTGAAAGCATTATTTTGAAAGGTTTGGACCTTCGTACCAAAGACAGGAAATGACGCGAGGAGTAGAAGTATCCTTGATTATGATGAATGGAGATTTCCAGCAAACAGGAAATTTTATAATATTGTAGACAACAGCTTATCTCTTCAAGAGTTTCACTTCACATACTTTTCTCGAGTCTTTTCATACTTTTCTCCCGAGTCGGTGTTGCAATGACTCGCAGGATTGTACACCTTGTTCTCCTTTCCTGTCGCCGACGATAAAGTTGTCATCTAATGATCAAATTCATGAGACTTCCTCAGACCAGCCTCATGTACAGCTATTTAAATTGTCCCGGTTTAAGGTAGAAAATCAAAAATAGTACGATGGTGGGAATGACGATTATGTCTGTGTTTACATTCAAGACCTGCGCTTTTCAACGTGTTGACGTCAGACGCCCGCCGCCCTAATGACCAATCACTGTAAACGACAGAGACATGCAAAGCACGTCGTTGATGACGATATCATGGAAGTTCGTCATGAAAAGTCTGTTAGTCTATTTGCAATAATGACAGTGTGAAACCTAAACAGACCGAACCAAATTTGTACCATGTAACAAAAACATCCTTAAATTCAACTAATGATGAAACATGGATTAAATAAAAGAAAAGCAGGTTGGGGAAAAAGAGGTAGATTCATGATGATAAATATGGAGGCAGGAACAGAGTATGATGATAGTATGTGGACAACACTCAGGCTCAGACTTACTACGTTGCATTACTTGAAAAAGTTGTTTCTGGAGTGCTGTGAGCTCCTCTGAATCTGATGGAAAACTGAAAATTTCATTCTGGATGAGGTTTGTTTGTGGACTGTATTCGGTAAAAATGAACCTGGGAGTGAACTGAAATGCTGAAAATATACAGAGAGTAAAATGTGAATACAGTGAAAATGATCGGACACTGGAAGAGGATCCCAGGTTAAATATGATGGTAATAAAGGGCAAAACTGTGCTGATGCTTACTGCAAACCAAATTTCCCATGAGATGGTAATAAAGTCAAAGTTGAAGTTGATGTTGTTTTTGGATATCTTGCTGAGGCTTGATGGGGTTGGCACCATGAGCAGGAAATTGTGTTTTTGGGGTACTACCAGGCCATGAAACAGTTCAAGGGAAAATTAAGTTTGGCAGTAAAACAATGAACAACATTCGGTCCATCATCCTCCTCGCTGAAAAAAAGTCAGATTTAAAGATGCATTAAAACTTAAATTTCAGACATAAACAGAACTAAGAGTTTTCAACAAAAGACTGAAACTAAAAAATTAAAGCAAAGGTCATTACATACTGGCGAATTAGTGAAGGGAATTCACGAAGCAAATAATTCACTTTTTTTTAAAAACCTCTTAAAGTCGATGGAAGCTTCCACACCAGCTTTGAACTTCCAAAGAGCAAAAAAAGTGAGAATTTTTTCTCCCCTGTAGCGAGTTTTGCAAACATTCACAGGCGAACTGCCACATAAATTTATAGCCTCACATAAATCTTACCTCAGACACGTGGCAGGCCGTTGCTCTGGATCAATTGGCTCTCTGTAATTTGTCCTCTTTTTCTTCAAACATGGAGTCAGCTGATGAAGCAGTTCTTGAAATTGTTGGAATTTCTCAGGATACAATTTAAGCTCCTGGATCATGGTTTGAAGCTCCCCCATCTCCTGTCGCAAGGTCAGTATTGGATGTACCCAGACACTTTGACTCTTCTTTTTCTTTTTGTTATTTAATAGACTTACAACCATGACCAGGTCATCATCACTTGAGGATGTACTCACCATTGTTTCTCCTTCTTCCCTCTCCCCCTCTGTTCTCCTGTGATGTATTTTTATGCGAATATGTGAATTTTATTTGCGTCACAGCAGATGTGTATAGGAAAAGGTGTAAGCCGAATATTTCGCATTTTCGCTCTGCTTCACTAATTCGTGTGTAACGACCGTAAATCAAGATTATCAGTGGCCTGAATTCTGTATACATGACATTAATGAGGCAGATTTTTTTCATCTGTCCCTGTGTAATGAACAGGTAAATTAATGAATATATCAGAACTGGATGTTTTGTCCTGTTGGTCATAAACATGTGGTGGGGTTTGTTTTGTTGTTTTGGTACAATGAACAATGAACTCAGAAGAATTTAAGCAAATAGAATATATACAGCATGTCAAGACTGTCAAGGAGCTTTCGATCTAATAAGATAGAACAATTGAAACTAAACTAAATCAACAGAACTGAATAAA